AATTTGGATCAACAGTTAAACTGTGAAATGTAGACTAAAAGTGGTCATGTATAAAATTTCACTTGAAGTAATTCAATTTTCTTTACTTTGCTTTTGACCGGGATTTCATTATAAAATTCGGGTATGGCGCACCCTATGTAAGAATTATCGTCGGTAAGAATAGTGCTGGGTATGAGGTGTACTGGGTATGAGTCGTACTGGGTATGAGTTGTCCTGGGCATGAGTTGTCCTGGGTATGAGTTGTCCTGGGTATGTGGTGTCCGGGTATGAGTCGTCCGGGTATGAGTTGTCCGGGTATGAAACGTCCCCGACCGGAACATTTTGAGTTCCCTATCGTTTAAGACCCAACTTCTTCTTCTATTCTGGATTTGAGTACTTTTAGAGCGAGCGATTGTTTAGAGGGAGAGGGGGGGGGCTCTGGACATTACACCTAGAAGCTTTCGTTTGATACCTAGATGATCCATGTCACAGATAAGCAACACACACTACAATACAATAAAGACAGACAGAAAACAGGGTATTTTTTGAATTTTTTTATAATGCGGTAAAGAGGACATACCCATTACCCAACACTGCTTTCTGAAGTCGAGCCTAGAAACGCAAGAATTTCAAAGACAATAAACCCATAAAGAGCGTTTAAAAAAGCGGCAGAGCACCTTGGTGTGACTCCACGGAGTCATTGGATTTGACCCATTTTCAATTGGCTTGTTACATGTGGTATATATGTTAACAAACTGTGCAAAGTGTGAACCGAATAGGTTCAAGCGTTTGCCAGAGGCAGAGAGGCGTGACCCTACAGGGTCATTGGATTTCACCCATTTTCTATAGACTTGTTACATGTGGCATATAAGTCTACTGTGCAAAGTTAAAAAGTTTCAACCGAATAGGTTCAAGCGTTCTGCGTTTGGAAGGAACACAGAAGCGTGACCCCACGGGGTCATTGGATTTGACCCATTTTCAATAGGCTTATTACATGTTAATTGTGCAAAGTTTGAACCAAATCGGTCGTAGCGGTTGACCGTTATCGTGTTCACGCACAGACGGATACCATCGACTCCCCTACAAAGCTTTCATCGCTTTGCTCTGCCGCTTAATAATGATATTTGAATTGCTTGATATACATTGTTTAAAATATTGGAGTATATGAAGAACAGCAGAGCAGTTTAAACTTTTGTATGTACACCACGTCTCTTCGTCATGCAACGAGACGAGACGCAACGCGGTTTTTCTTCACACTTGTTTTCCTTAATTCCAATGCATGTATCTCAAATTTGATCAAAATCGGATAAATACTTTACTTTAAGAGATAGCAGTAGGTTGCTAAATAGCGGTACGTTTCCTCTCACAAGTTCATTATCAAGAACCCGATATAACATCTTGTCTACATCGAACAAGGCCATTGAGTCAATGGGAATTAATTATAACCACCTCTGCCACCACGGCGAAGGGTAAAGTCCCAAAAATCCTCCATGGTCAAAGTTGGTTTTCATGGCTCCAACAGTGACTCCCAGACAGGCGCGAGTCTCTGAACCTTTCTTAGCTGCTTCCTGTAGGTTGACCTGCACGTGGCAGACCACCATACAAGTGCAACGTGTACCTACAGTATTATTGGCCTTATCACTGCAGCCGAGGGTTCAAGTCCCATTAAGAACCTTGCCCTTCTACATGCCCATAGCAAAGAGTATTATAGTTACTCTTTGCCCATAGACATGTGACTTTTTGCTTATTCGCTCAATGTGCCCTTTCGAGATTAGGTGGGAGTCGACGCCTTGTTTTCCAAGCTTCATTCTATAAAATTCTATCAAATCCCGGTTCCCCCGCATCTGCGCAGAACGGTCGAACTCGAAGAATTCATGATCGTTTCATACATACAGCGTTTCGTACTTTTTCCCATACTGCCATTCTTTCCGTTGTGACGTGTGTTGCCTAACCGGTTCAACTTTATTCAGTTTTGACTTCAATATCGAAGTTGCAGATGCCGTATGGAAAACAAATAAGTACTTAAACCTCTCGCCAGGAAAGATTGCCGGTCACAGATGACCTGATCCCGGTCTACAATCTGTGTTTTTCTAAAGATATGAGCGACTTCATGGGATACGATCGTGCCAATGTTGAATGAAAAGTCTTTTCGTTCAACATTGGCACGATTCTTTTCCGGAAGTCGCTAGCATCTTAAAAAAAACATAGATTGTAAATTGACACAAAGTGTACTGGGACCGGCAATCTTTCCTAGCGAGAGTTATATATTAGTTATTGCAATAACAAAATTTGGAAAATTACATTATTTGGTGAATTTAGACAATGAATAAAAATAACACGACATGTCAATCAACTACAAAAAAGTAAGTAGAAATTTCAACCACCAGCTCTCGTCTGGTGATATTGCACATTTCCAAACAAATCCAGACGTTCTATAGTTCCTGATTATGATACCAAACCCAGACATTCCATTAGCATCCTAGATTCTAGAGGTTCTACTCACTCTTTATGAGTACCTACCCTCTTCCGACACTTTGTTTTTGAGATATTCGTTTCGACCATTCCAACAGATAAGCCACGTTCAGACGATTTATTTTGCCTTCGTGGGCACTTTCGTCCGACACACCGTTTGCGAGATTTCGCTCTTAAAAGTTTAGAGCTGTGATAGTCCACCCTTATGGTTAGGCAGCACATCTTTACATCTGAAACAAAAATATGATATGCTCTGTATTGTATATAACCAATCGACCGTTTTGCGCAGATGCCGAATACTAGGGGATTTTCGTAACGAAGCTAGGGAAAAAAGAGCGTGGCGGAAGCTAAGGGTGGAAGAGAGAAGATGGCGACGGGGTCGACGGAAGGCATCCCTCGTTGCCGATTTTTATTCTTGATTATTTTGGTTGTGGTGTTGTGAAGGTGTATTTACAGATAGTAACCATTTTATTCTTTCTTGTACTAAATATTAATCATTGAATTTCTTACCACAATTTGATATTATTTACATTTTGCTGATTTTGCATAAACTGCCGATATCCAGTCATGGCGTACTCCATGTGTTTGTTTTGAGTACCGTTATCTGAATCATGTTTGTTTGTTACACTGTACAGGTGATTATGCCCTTATTTTGTTTTATTAGCTATTTCTGTATTTCTAGTATTCACGAGGAGTTGATTATCAGTGCGATGTTGCTCAATTCGATTGATTACGTAACTATATTTCGTGAGGGAAGTACCTAATACAGTTTAATTGATTGTTCGCTGTATCTGTTACTTTCTTATTCGTGACGCGCTGCAGTTCTTGTGGCTCTCTTATTTGATGTTTCGATGTTTGTGTGTGCGAGTGGTTCATTTTGTCTCGGTACCGAATACAGTTCGATCTTTCGCTGTATTTGTTGCCTAGTCGTCTCGTGCGGATTGCAGTTCTTAGCATCTTAGCAATGCGAGATATTTAGGGGCCCTCTCATTAACATTTCCTCTATTTAAAATATGTTTTGCTTGAGCGATAGGTAATCGATTTTCACTTGTCCTTTTTGTGTTAAATTAATTTATGTTAACTGAAGGCTGGAGGAGAGCCACACCATTTACATATTCCCTATGTACTTGCAATTTATTATTTTATGAGTTGTGTTAGCTCAATTGATCGTACAGGTATTTTGATGTGTTTTTGTACTGAATTGATTTATCATGCTTTCCACTGCATTTATGATGTCTTGTGTATTTTGTTTTTATGAACTTGTTTAATTGCATTTGATTTGATTATCTGATTTTTATCATACAATTTAGATGTTTTATTTATGTGTATCTCTTGCATTTTATTGCTGTAGGTGATTTATTTCATGTATTTGTGTGACCTATGCCGGGGTTTTGGTCCCGTAGAAGGTTTCCCTAGTATGGTCTTGTTGTGTGCGTAATATATTTATTTGTTCTTGTCATTTCTTACGCACAAAAGTTCTGTCTTTTATCTAATTCCCTTCCCGATTATGTCTCACGTCCCAACACATACAAGAACCGATTACATAACGTAGGAGTTGATTCGTGCCACCCATATCGAGCCGACTGCCATCCAAATTCAAAAGTGCCGCGAAACGTCCATCGTTTCGACTTGAAAGGTAGGTGGCTCTGCTTGTAATTTTTTCCAGTGTTGCCAACGGTAAAGTATAGGGCAAGTTTTCAGTGTCGGCTTGATAGACCCCTAGGACCATTACAGACCTCACCACATTTCTTCCCGACATCCCAGTCGCCTTTGCCAGTACCCTCCTCCAAAACACCTGAGACATAAGGAATTACACATAATCGACCACGATAAAACGGTTCGAAGTAGAGGGTTGCTAGAATTTATAATTTCTTGTCTCGAGACTTCATTGAAAGTACCATAGAGGATTTTAGGCGGCACCGCTAAATAAAATGCTGTTGGATGTTATGGATATTACAATATGTACAAATAAATGGTAGCCGCGAATTGTACGCATGAACCGCTGTCGTCGGAGTGAGCGAGGATGCGGGTCTTCTTGCTGGTGGAGCGTGGCGCGATGTCGAACCGGCAAGGCGAATTGGTTTTGCAGGCGGCGTGCTGGTTGTTACTTGAAGCGCCGTCGAAGCAAGAATGGCCTTTGCAGAGTTAGGAGCTCTGCTTTTAAACGTTTACGGCCATCAGGCACGCTAATACGCTCTGATCGGTTAGCCGTTTCGACCAATGAACCCACTAAACACAAAAAGGTTATGGCAAAGTCACAGTATGTTTTTAAATGGAACTGTAGGCAAAGAATTATTAGTTACTCTTTGCTGTAGGTAAGTTATGGGTTTAATAATAAATAAAGTTTGGTTGGTGGAAGTTTGTGGTACTGGTTAGATCTGCGCCCAACAAAAACGTGATGTTTTATTGTAGTCTGGAATTGTTTAATAAAAAATAAAATTATAATTCTACAAACATAAATACCTATATAAAGAATTTGTTCACACGTTAGAATAGCCTAGCTATTCAGGCTATTCTAAAGGTCTACTGTAATAAACACTGGTTCCCTTAAGCGTTAAAAGATGTGTTTGCAGGTTCACAAATGGAGGGAAACAAGTGTGGTGGTCAAACAATTTCTTGCACACTGGTGGCGCTCCAATGGATATTTGATATGGTATTTATCTGAGTTGGTTTTTAACAGCTTTGTAGCAGAGAGCAGAATGGATAATGGTTGGGGTTGCGAGAGGTTGAACAAGAGTAGAACTCCTACTTCAGTTTTCTCTGTGTAGGTAGTAGGTGAGATAGGTTTGAAGGTACCTAGATGAGTATTTATTCCACAACCACTTTAAGGAAGATCACAGCAGTAACAATGGCTAAAAACCACATAAATAAGCCCCTTCATTAAATTTTAATGCAATATACTAAACGTACAGTAGGACTGACAAAACAGGAAAGAAATTTTACAGCACAATACTTCTGTTAAAATAAAAATAATTTAAATATTCAAATTTATTTACATAGAAATTTGCTTGAACACTTGAGTTCAACACAAATCTAACTAGAGCTAAATAATAACCAGGGTTTCATACTCAGTCATTTTGAAAAGTACATATAAGTTAAGTTCAGCCATGTTACATGAAATCCAATTTCTTCCAAAACGAAAGATCAGGTATATTCCTTCACCAGTTATAAATACATTTCGTCAAAGTAGTAAAATGTAAGAGCACGAAATATAACAATCTTGTTCCTTACAAAATCTCATATACCCAGTTATACATCGCTAATACTATTATAAAAATCTGTACATAACATATAAACTAACATAACTACATATCTGAAATATAAAAACATTTACTGTATAAAATTCAAACATTTTATAGTCTAAGGGTCATATTTGTGTAGCTTTAACCGCCACTGTTTTATTAGTCCATCCCAAGCACGTCGTGAGTACTTCACGTACTTATTAGGAGTCGTTGGGTCGTCTGGCTTGCGATCCATTCGAGGTACACTTTTTACATAATTGTCATAACCGATTGTATTTTTGCCGTAATTAATCTGCTTCTGTCGACGGGTGAGAATCGCAGTATCATTTTCGAATTCCCTTTTCTGTTTTTTGGGCACCGAACTGTTTGTTGCAATCAAAGAATCTTTGGGCTCCACTTCCCGCTTAACGTAAGGCGCCTCGCGCTTAAAAATGGTTGCCTTTTCGCTTTTACCAAATTTAGATGACGAGTTCGTGCTGCTGTTTGTGTTGTCGTCAAATTCCGCTTTTACGTGGATCTTTTCCAGCTGTTCTTGCGATATGTTGAAGTTAATGTCGTCGGCATCGAAAGGTTCTAGCTTAAGGGTGATGTTCGGAGCAGGAGGGGGAAAATCAGACAAACTGTCTCCAGAATCACTGTTATTTTCCTCCGTAGGTTCTTCCTTAACTTTAGGAATTCTGGTAAACTCTGCATTGTCACAGAATGCATCCATCAGGTTTATACACTTATCCGTGGTTGTGTCATCAAATTCAGAGTCAAAAATTCTGGCATCCCTTAGAGATGTGTTCATAGATAAACGTTTCAGCATTGTGAAGATTGGGCGATTTAAAAAGTAAGACCTAACATTAAAATAGTAAGTCGTAAATCAGACACTTTTGTATAAATAAATAATAAAATATAAACTAATTTTTAAGAATTTAGAATAATTTTCATTCTGTTTATTATGGTCCCACAAGTCACAACTGACTGACAGTTGACACAAAATTGGCGCTAGTCGCGAAACCCAGGACATCCAACAACAGCTTTATAAAATTCCCTACATAATTCATACAGGACGATTACAAATTCTTGTCAATCTTTAAAACAGTAAATTCCATAATAATGAATTTAAGGATATATGGTAGTGGGGCTGAGCGTCTTTATAATGCCAATGGCTAAGCCAGCGGCAGCATCGCTACCGAGTGCGCCCTTAATGCTAAAGAGGTCATTGGCGAGGAGCCAGATGAAGAGAGACAACACATCTATACAGTACGGAATCCAACCCTATATATAATATATTGCTACGCGTACCGTGATCCAACCCAAAGGATCTTCTTCCCGTCTTCATTTCGAAGACAATCCTCTGCTTCCAGAATAATCCGAACGATGTGCGGAAGGAGATGAAGAAACAGAAAATTCGGAGGGTATATGCAGAAACTAAAGAATCTCAAGGGTCTAAATGATGTAAGAAACCTTAAGCCCGCTTGACATGGAGCAATAAAAATTGCAATTGCATGCAACTTGCAAGAAAAATTGCGAAAGGCATGCGCAGTTCAAAGCCAGCTGATCAATTGCTGCAAGAGACTTGCATGCAATTTTTATAGGACCGGTGCTATTTTTCTTGCATGAATCGTGCAATTCTAGGGATAAATCTAGTTGTTTTTGTGGCACCAACCTAGTAAAATACAGCGGCGGCAACTGTGATGCTGAGAGACGCACTCATTACTTGTTTTTACTAATCTTATTTATTCTTGTAATTTTCATGTTTCTTCAAGCAATCAAAATTTAATTTTCATTTGAGGTTAACAACTTTGTTGACAAATCCATATGTTTCTTCTGTTGGCAGACATGTGGCAATTGAAATAGAATTGCACCATGTCAAATACCATGCAATGCTTATTGCATGCAAGGATTTGACCTTGCAATTTCTTTCTGCAAGTTCTTGCGCGTAGTATTGCTCCATGTCAAGCGGCCTTTAGTATAAAAGGAATTGAGAAAATTAAAGAGCAGCAACAGCGAATGTGACAACACTGTCATACACAAGACGGCAAATCACCACGGCCAACCGGGAAGCAGTAGGTGTAGTTGTAGTTCTAGCAGTGTAGTAGTACACACCGCCAATCTTATTGCAATGTGTGACAGCTATGTGACATCTCGTCAATTTATCAAAAATTAATTAATTTGGCGGTGTTTGAATTATAATTTTTCAAGAAAAAGTCAATATTAAACCACCATGAACCCATGCACCATTCCGGCACCCGCAGAAGATATCGATGGAGATCAACGTTGGATGAGTATTGTAAATATCTGTGCAATTTATATGTGTATTTTGCTTGAAGCATTTGTAGTGCAGTGAAGCATGAAGGCAACAAGATTTTATTTTTATTTTAGCATTATCGATTTCTCTCTGAAACCAGAGAAAAAGATCCGGATGTAATTTTTATTGGTGATTCAATACTTCAAGCCTTACAACATACCGATTATTGGAATGAACTTTTTGCACCTTTACACTGCCTCAATTTTGGAATCCATAAAGACCAAATACAGAATGTTTTATGGCGAATTAAAAATGGTGAATTGGATAATGTACGACCAAAGGTAATTTAACAAATTGGTATAACGACTACGTTTCTCCTTCTATTCTATTTAAAGGTTGTAGTATTACATGTTGGCACCAACAATTACTCAAATACTCCCGATGAAATGATTGAAGGTATTATAGAGATAATTAACATTATTCAAGAAAAACATCCCCAAAGTTATATAGTTATTCCTGTGAGTATTATGTTACAATTGAATGTTTTAATCTTACACTTATTTCACAGACTCTCTTACCTAGAGGTCATAACCCAAACCCTTTAAGGGATCGGATATCTCAAGTGAACGAGATTTTAAAAACGAAAGTAGCTAGTTTACCCAAAGTAGAAGTTGTTGTTATCGATAAAGGATTCATCCATGTTGATGGCACAATCAGTCATCACGATATGTATGACTATCTATTGCTCACAAATGCCGGAAGCAAAAAAGCCTTTGAACCAGTACATGAATTACTAGTGCAGTTACTTAACGAGGGAGAGACTGAAAAAGATTTAACACCCTCAGAATAATTTATACACAATTTACAAAACTTTTGCCTTTGCATTTTTTAACATGAAATTAGTACAATGGTTTATTTACGATTTAGTAGAAGTATTCATTTATTTTTTAAAGCTTAAATGTTATATAGTTGTTAAGACATTGATCTCTGTTTTAGATTTTAAAGTAGTAATCTTAAGATCAATTTTTTACTATTAAGTAAAACTACTTGATTTCATTTCAATATGATGCCTATATTAATTTTAACAAAGCTTTGTGTTCTGGTAATTATTCCAACAAGAAACTTGTACCTATCTACTATTTTTTACATGAATTTGTATGCACTACCCATTTGTTATTAAAATTATTGACTAATGCTCATTCCTAGACTGCAGGCAGTTTCGTTTGCATGACCCTGTTCGACAGGTCCGTAGCTTAAAATTATCTTTACCTATATGCTGTTATTGCTGGATTTCAGACAGCAAATGTGGCTCCTACAATTTTTTCACATAGTGTCAGTAAGTCTGATCAGAGATTTTGAAACTAATAGGGCTCACAGTGGAGGGCAACAGCCAATCAGATACTCGCCAGTTTGTGATCATGTGAGGTATGAGAACAAGCCCCCCCATCAGATCAATAACCTCTTGGCTCCACACTGCGAAAACGATATGGGCGCTGCTTGCTGATTTAAAACGTTCAAATCAGGTTTTTGCAAGTAGGTACTCAATAAGGGCAGCGCAGCGCCCCACCAAATTCGTGTCTATGCTGTGTGTTAGCATCACAGGCAACCACAAGAGGGCGCGCACCATTTTGACAGTAGGTACCCTCTTAGGTTGAACCTCTTCTTAATTATATTTCGCCATCCAATCCGAAGACATTAGTTAGAATACTATGTAGCTGTTTAAAGATGACAGGTTTTTCAGGATATGTGAGAAAGAACTCTGCTTTCCGAACTGAACTGGTTTAATAATTTTAGAACTACGTTGACCTAGCTAGAACTAAGTACAGTATTAGCAAACAGGTTGGCTTCCGAAAACGGTCTTTTGTAGAAATTACAAAAAGTTTTGGACTTCGCCGTCCATCCTGCCGTTTGACGAATAGTCTCCACTGGCACTCCTAATTGGAAGGCTTTCGATGTTGCAGCATGGCGGGTAGAGGGTGCTTTGAAGATTTTGGTATTCACACCAGCCTGTTCCAACGTGTCCTTCACCCACCTACTTAGTGTCTGCTTACTCGCTATCCGATGAGGTTTCTTGTATGTAATAAAGAGGAAATCAGTGTTTGACGTGCGTAGTTGTTTAGTCGCTGCCAAGTACTCCTTTAATGTTGTGGCTACGCAAAGATTAGGAGTCTCAGTGAAATATGGAAGTTGTAGACAGGGTTGATTTCTTCCCGGGCCAGAAGTTTTAATTTTGTCTTCTATTAATATTTGAAACCCAGTCCTTGACTCAATGATGTTGGGTAGCCGAATTAGGGAAAACGTCTGCATTCGGTGAGCCGTTGAAAGAGCCAGAAGTGTGACTAGCTTCTCGGAGAGCGCTTGCAAGGTGGGCGTAGAACGTTTTTCCAGGAAACTTAACACTATGTGAGGGTCCCAAACCACATCGTATCGAGGTTTTTGCGGTCGCAGCTTCGATATTCCCTTCAGGAAACGACTAACAACTGGGTGGCCAGCTAAATCGGTGGACAAGATTAGAGATAGGGCCGAACGATGCGAGTTGAAAGTTCCATAGCTCTGATTGCCTGTATCGTAGAGATACTGCAGGAATTCCATCACATGTGCAGGTGTGCCGTCAAAGGGAGAGATGCCTTTTTTGGCGCAGTAGGGCCACCAGAGCTTGAACGTCCCTCCATATTGTTGGATGGTTGCTTCCGATAAGGAGTGCAAAATTGTTTCTACTACATTTTTTGGCAGCTCCTTTCGTGTAAACGCTTCCCTGATAACCTGGCCGCCAGTAGAGAAAGGTTGTTCGCCAAAGGGTGGGGTTGCTTGCTGTAAGGATGAAATAACAAATCATTACTAGGATGAAAAACGATTGGCTCTTGGGCCAATAAGTTAGAAAAGAGTGGGAACCAGGCTTGATTTTCCCACCTTGGGACAATTACAATTCCTTCAGCCTTGTCGTCGATTATCTTTTGCAATACTCTTAAGATCAAGGCGAATGGAGGGAAAGCATAGAAGGCCAGATTACTCCATTGAATAGTGAAGCTATCAACCTTGACGGCATCAGGGTCCCTTTGCCAGGAAACATAAATAGGGCATTTGTGATTGTTTTTGGACGCGAACAAATCTATCTCTGGTAACCCGAAGCGTTTGGTCACCACCTTAAACGCCCTGTTGCTTAAGCTCCATTCGGTTTCGGGTGTTAGGCTCCTGGATTCTCTGTCGGCTATCCAATTGTCCGAAGAGCTGATATAGGACACGTGCAGCCAAAGGTTTCGCTCCTCACACCATTCCCAAATCCTCTTTGTGAGATCAAAAAGCGCTGAATGGTGAATGCTCCCCATTTTATTAATATAAGATAACGCAGTAGTATTATCGCATCTTAATAAGATGTTGCTGTTGGAGCAGGACGAAGCAAAACCTTTAAGTGCAAAGAAAATTGCTAAAAGCTCTAGGTAATTGATATGATGTAGTCTGTCTTCAGGAGTCCACCACCCACGAATTCTACTCTCTCCGCAGCAAGCACCCCAACCAGTAAGCGAGGCGTCTGAAAAAACCTCCAGCACAAATTGATCCTTCCTAATGTCATTAAAAGCAGCGTCAATTGAAGTAAGCCACCAAATAAGGTCTCGCTGTAAGTCTACGTGCAGTGACATTGACGCAGAGTACCTCCCTTCACTCACCTGGAGGGCCAAATGTTTGTGCCGTTCGAAAATTTTGGTACGTAACCACCCGTATTTGACTCCCGGGCAGACCGACACCAGATAGCCAATAAAACCTGCCCAATCGCGAATTTTACAGCGTTTCAAAGACAAGAATTTACTGGTCCACTTCTTTATTTTTTCTTTCTTTTCTATTGGCAGAAAAATTGTGAGTTGCTCCGAATCGAGCATAAAGCCCAGGAATTTGATGGTCTTGTTAGGGATTAACCGGCTTTTTTGTAAGTTAATGGAAAATCCCAGAGACTGCAAAAAATCGACTGCTACCTTAGTATTACGGAGGCAGCCATCGTAGGAAGAATTCAATAGTAAGATATCGTCCAGGTAGCACACGCACAAAATATTATGAGATCGCAGCCATTGTGTTACCGGGCGCATGAGTTTAGTGAAAACATAGGGCGCGGGAGATAACCCAAATGGCAGACAGGTGAACTCGTATAACTGCCGATCAAACTCAAATCTTACAAATTTCCTAGAATTTGGGTGGATTCGTATATGGAAGTAGGCGTCCTTAATATCGATGGATGTAAACCAGCAGTCTTTTTTGATGAGTCTCAAAGCAGTTCTAATGTCCTCCATTTTAAAATGGGGAGACTCTAGGAAAGTATTAAGATACTTTAAATTCAAAATGAAACGTTTCCCGCCATCGGGTTTATCCGCTAGGAAGATATTGGAAACACACTGTCCCGGGTGAGACTCGCACCTCACTATTGCTTTGGACTTTAGTAGAGACTTGATTGCATCAAACATATCTAAATTCTGGGCTGTCCAAACTTTAGGTAAGTGCCCGATGCAAAAACTTGGTGGGGTGGCGAAAGGTAGTTCATAGCCTTCTATCCACTGGAGTAAAATAGGGTTTGTCGTTATTTTGCGCCAGTTAACCAGGAAATGATGGAGTCTGCCCGCAATAGGACTTACCTGAATTAGCGTTTGTAACTCTTTAGATGGGGTTTGTGCCCTCGGGATGACCTCGTCACACCTCTGTGACGGGTCGGGCCGAAGCGGTTTAAAGGACGGCCATCTCTTTCAGTAGCGAAGGCTCTTGAATCCCGTCTTCGAAAACTTTCGCTCCGTCCCCCTCTGGCTGTTGAAAATCTTGTCCCGGTACTCGCTTTTAGCTCCTTCCCTGCAGTCTGTATAGATTTTGCGTCCCGTACGCACTCAGAGACGTTGGCGCCAAAGAGAAGCTCCCCTGGCTTGGTCTTTTCTAGAGCTTCTTTTAAATTGTTATTGAGCGTTGGTACTATCAATTTGCGCCTGGTATCGGATCAACATATATGTATAGGTATATATCTTGATCGACTTCTAGGGGCACTGGTAGTAAACCTGACACCCCTTCGAAGTTGTAATGGAACTATGTCCCGAGCACCAGTTTTCGTTACAAATGTGACATGCGAGACCCCCGCGTATGCCAGGAAGTTATAGGCACAATGGATGTCAAGGACCTACCAGGCTCCTCCCTGCGGAAAGTCCTACCAAAGGCCCGTCCTGAAATCGCTTCAAAGATGGTGACCAGGTCATCCGAAACCCATATATGAACTTCACAAGCAATGTTAAAAAAACGTTTGTGACGTTAAACGAATGTTGCATTTTAAAACATATCAACGATACTTCGATGGCTTGTTTCTAACCCGTGGTTACGATGTTTACGCCATTAAAAAACATTGATATATTTACATTTTTGAAAGATGATAGTTAATCGGTGACGCGAAACGTCAGATACAAAATTTAAAACTAACATCTTGTAGAGGGAAAAAAGTGACCATAATATTGTGTCATTTATTTTGAAATATCTTTTTAAATAACATTGGTAAAAAATAAAAACGATTTTGCAAAATTTAGTTTTTTTCAGAATATTTCTGAAAGTAGTCAGATTTTTTCAGTTTCAAAACGGCATTTTGTTAAGCGTCAAAATACGCAACTTGGCCAAATTTAAACTACACCTACCTATCTCTTACAGTTCCCGAGATATGGTGGCCCTCGAATTTGAATCAGCCTGTATATAGGCCCCACGGGGAACCGTTTTTCAAGATCGGGAATCATATGTAGATATGTATATATATAGCAAATGAAAAGCGTCAGTCCATATCATACTTTCTGGAAAAGTGCACGTCAGCTTTCATTCCTTATCGGTTATCGCCGATGACTGATCCTTTATCGGCTTGATGGCAACGAATAAAACCTTGCGTTCTAAATTATATTCAGAGTTGTAGAATTTGCAAGAAATTTCAAAAGCCAAAAATCCAAATTATTTGTATCCAAAGCTACCCACTAATTTCAATCACCATAACCTTAATACTAAACAAATAAAAAATATTTTAGAGGGACTAATGTCGAAAATGAATTAAAAACAGTAAGAGAGTTGAAGAGGGTCTAAGGAAACCAATAATTTGGATCTACTGCTAAGGAAAGTAGAAAACGAGAGGCACTTTTCAGAGGAGAAACGAACGCGTAAGCTAAAAATAAGTTTCAATTAAATCTTAAAAATATGTTTATGCAAAAGAATAATGAATAATGTACTTTAATGTTGTGTATTATTTACCTTCTATAATAATTAATAGTAATTTATACCTATTTTTTAATAATAATGTTATTTATTCAAGTAAATGTTGGAACTCTTGAAAACAGAAAAAATACATAAACCGGAACCGTCACCGTAACCCGTAATAGTACATTATACCTATATCAAGGTAGAGAAGTCCAGTATTATTGCCTGAGCACCAAGATTACATCTCGAGGCGCTTGCGCCGAGGGGTGTAAGGTGCGAAGGCAATAATAGACTTCTCTACCGTGGTATATGTACTATTTTTTTCACTACTAGCAGTTTGAAGTCCTCTAAATTAACATATATTATATTGATAAGAAAGTGAACGGTTGGACAGAATTTTTTGTTTATTACTTTAACATGTCAATCAAGTACGTGAAAGTACAAGTTAAACAGGCCGTATTTTGTTCTGTCATTGAGATGTTTTCAAAGAGAAATTTCGTTCCATTTTTTTCAAAATGTGATAATTTTAGGTATATGTAATTTCTCTGGAAATGGCGGATGGTGGCAATCATTCATTTTAGAGAACTTATGTAAGCGTTTATTGAGCGAAATTTTGGTGTTGTTTTCTAAAAGTGACAGCGTGACAGTTCTCATTATTGACTACTAGTTAATAATGTCCACATATTATTAACCACTTTGAACAAATGCCGAGAAAGCCTACTTTACAAGTGGAAAAAACTAGGTTAATAATCATATGTGATCAGACGCTAGTAGTGAAAAAAATAATTGTAGCGGAATAGTGCGGAACCGGAACCAGTATTTCATATGGGTTCTAACTTGCCTGCGCATAAGTAGGTAGCATCAAATAAATCGCATTAAAATTTTTGCACCGCATATACTTATTGAGAAATTCGCGTAAATACATATATGTATGTTGGTATAGTTATGGACTGGCCGGCGTGATAAGGAAATTCTGCCACAGATTACACTACTGTGAGTTTACAATAAATTGTTAGAACAAATAAGAATTAGGTATAACGAATTCGAAATTATGAGAAATAGGAATTATTCGTAGTTTCCCCATAGTCACACGACTGTCAAAAAGTACAATAGATACATTCAACGTTCGGAATTCGGATGCTAAAAAAAATTAAAAATTGTTAGTGATGTGTAAATGAACTAACAACTTTCGAACTTATTTCACCTTTCTTTATTAAATACATAAAATTTATCCGCTCAATACTACAATACGTCAGGGAGATTACTTCAGAAGACGTCAACCTAAAGATTGACAATACTAAAAACAAAATTAGTCATTAATTATTATTAATAAAGAATGCCCCTTTTTGGTAAATCACAAAAGAGTCCTGCAGATGTGGTCAAAGCCTTAAAAGAAGCAGTTAATTCGCTCGAGAAGGGCGATAAGAAAGCGGAGAAAGCGCAAGAGGACGTTAGTAAAAATCTTGTACTAATCAAGAACATGCTGTACGGAACCTCCGATGCGGAACCGCAGACTGATATAATTGTGGCACAATTAGCGCAGGAGCTGTACAACAGCAATCTTCTTTTATTGTTAATTCAGAACTTAAATCGCATCGATTTCGAAGGCAAGAAAGATGTGGCGCAAGTTTTTAATAATATATTACGAAGACAAATTGGGACTAGATCGCCTACCGTGGAATATATATGTACAAAGCCCGAAATTCTGTTCACTTTAATGACTGGGTTTGTGTCGATTATACTTTTAAGTTGGAATTAATTTGAATTTTTAGTTACGAACATCAAGAGATCGCCTTGAATTGTGGGACGATGCTACGGGAGTGTGCCAGATATGAAGCTTTAGCCAAAATAATGTTATACTCTGATGATTTTTATAACTTTTTTAAGTACGTTGAAGTATCCACTTTTGATATAGCATCAGATGCCTTTTCAACTTTCAAAGTATATCTTTAAGTAATTACTTTGCGTACTTATCCTGATCTTTTAGGAATTACTGACACGTCATAAAATACTATGTGCGGATTTTTTGGAAATGAATTACGATAAAGTCTTCAATCATTATCAACGACTTCTTAATTCTGAAAATTATGTTACACGTCGGCAAAGTCTTAAATTACTCGGCGAACTTCTACTCGACAGGCATAATTTTACAGTGAGTAAACCATTTTGAACTGATACGAATCATCCAAAATTGAGGTATGGAGAATTCGCATGTATGGAGTTATGTAGCACTCCTCCATGACGAATAAGAATATCCCTCTGCCATTAGTTTGTAACTCGGAAAGAATATTCGAACTATGATTGCAAATGATTTAGGTGGCAAGGATTTATGTACACAGTGTTTAGGTCACAAATTCTGTTACTTATTGTAATTTTTTTTATTTAAGCGAATAATTAGAGTGCGAGTAAAACAGCAGATGAACATAGAAAAATTGAGAGAAATCATTTCTGGATTGTGGGAGAAATCAAATGAAATATCAAGCTTCACTTAATTTTTGTATATACAGGCTGTCCCAAATTCGCAGGTGACCATTTAGATCTCAGAAACTGTACGAGAACAAAATTCGATTAAGGGGAGATAGTGTCCTGTTTTGGGGCCGAACTTAACGCTGCTTTAAAAGTGAAGGAACTCGTAGTATTTACGGAGATAACCGTATTTTGCTAATTTTTTTTTTTGCTTTTATTTGAAGAGATTTTTGAAAACAAATTGCAACTTTTTCTTTTTAAATGTAAAAAAGCAATGGTTTATTGCCATAAATTAACAAGAAAATCAACTGATAGGAGTACCTACACCACGGTGTAAAATAGACGGTAGGTATATGAACTACTTTTATTTTTAGTACAAGCTTTATTAAGCTCAATTTAGACGTTACATTTTTTGAGTAAAAAAAATTTTTTAACCTGTCTTTTAAAAAATGTAACGTGTACACGATAGTAACGGTCAATTTAGACGTCGAGTTTTTATTTATTTCTAGAAAATAATTTTCTGTTTGCAATAAAATGTAACGTCTAAATTGGGTAAATGAAAATGGAAAATTCTGGCTCAGTCCAGAACTAAATTCAGGACATTTTAAATGATCATTATTTTAAATAGAATGGCCTTTGTCGCCAAGCAATAGAAAATATATACCATTCATTTAATTAACAATCTCAGCGGCAGAAAAGATAAATTGGCCGCAAATAAAATTGTCCAGCTGTGCTTCATATAATTGACCAGTAAGCTACGTTTGTTCCTGTATATTTAATATATATATATTTAATAAAACCCTTAATGGTGTGGTGTATTTTAATTTTCTGAGGAACGGTTAACGAATTACCTACTCTCAAAAATGTAACATTGGAAACCAGGCGAGCCATGTATTTTCAACACAATGTGTGCTCGGCACATCTCTCGGTATATGTGCGAGATTATGTGAATTTGTTGTGTCCTGGCAAATGGATAGGAAAAGGAAGTATTTTTCCCTCGCCATGTTCAATGATTCAACAAATATTCAGAATTTTTTTAAATTTTTTTTTTTGAATCTTTGATACAATATTAAATTTTTTGGTGTTATATTTTGAAAAGAACTGAATCTGCTACCTTTTTAGATTGAAATATAAAAACGTGGTCTATTTAAAAAAATGAGGTTAGGCCCGATAACTTTTTTACCTGATTCCATACACTTATTTTGAAAACAGTAGATAATTCAATAAAAGACTGGCGTAATGACGACCTTTGGTTTGCTGGTATATATTTGAGATGTGCGTGTGTACAGGGTGGTTCAAATTCGTGGCTCACCATTGGGATCTTCGCAACGGTGAGAGATACAGTTGAGGTTAGATGGCGACAAAGCTGCATCTTTTTGTAACTAAAAAAATTTTTTTTGAAAAATGTTTGGAAATAACTGCGATATCACCGGAAAACTGAAAATGTCAAATCTCGCGTTTACGTTTTTCCTAGTTTGAATTGGTCGGAAATGAAACTTCCTTGTTACCACCTTCTAGCACTGTTTTCTGAGAATCTGAATCTGTTATCAGAATTTCCGTAACACGCTAGATGTAGAAGCTACAGGCTACCACTTTCTTAATTTTTATGGACGCCACATTGGATTTTTACGGAATGAGATTCCTATCATAGCAATGTTGATTCAGCAAGATCTAGTTAACCGTGGATGTTTTGTTGAGAAATGAATGTAAAACATTTGGTTTTGAAAAGTTTCTTGTAAATTTGTGTAACAGTATGGATTGTGAGACGTCATTATTTTTCTTTTTTTGTCCTCTATATCTCATTTCGTCAAAACCCAACATGGCGTCCATAAGAAATAAGAAAGTAGTAGCCTGTAGCCATACACAGTTTTTTTACAGGGTGTTCAGTTTTCTTATACAACCTTAAACTACATTTTTTATATGGACCACTCTATATAACGGGTCGGGCAGAGGAAGCCGACACATTTAAATTTTTTCTAGTGCGGCCGCGGCCGGATCAAAAGAGATGGGTTAGTGGCTTCACGAGTAAAAAGTAAACAATTGAAGGTTTACAATTCTTTATTTACTGAAAATAATATCGTTCAAATGATGCCCGTTATGGGCGATACAATTATCCAGGCATTTTTCAAAATTTTTAAAAATTTGTTCAACAAAGCCGGCTTTATTTTGGAAATTTCTTCCTCAATATTAGTTTGTAATTCGTCTAGTGTTCGAGGTTTAGTAACGCATACCCTCTGCTTCAAATATTGTCACAGGAAGAAGTCGCATACGGATAAATCCGGCGAACATGGCGACCAGGAAAATTTAGTTTTGCGGGAGATCAAGCGGTTACCAAATGTTTTGCGCAAGTAATCCAACGTTGTTTTCGACGTATGGCATGTGGCACCATCTTGTTGAAAAAATTGTGGCTTAGTTTACATCTATGCTTCAATGGGGGTTTACAGTATAGTTGAATTCCGCAGTTCTAATTTAATAAGCGTGTACCTGAAACCATAAAACATTTTTTTGGACAGTAAAAGTTTATTTAAAAATAGAGGCTGATTAGCAAAAAAATAATGAACATGTGCGATTTTAAAGGTTTATTCAAAACGATATGATTGTGGCGGGCTCTGTGACGTAATAAGCTCGACCAATCAGCTCCTAGAACCATTCAGATGACATAACGACTTGGCAATATTGCAGGAGAATGGCATTTATAACTTGCGTCATCTGTCACAGGCACTTGTCACTTTCGTGCTAGATGCAGTTAAACATCCCTCTCAAAACGTCAAATGTGACAAACGTCAGACCCTCGCGTAAGGTTGCCAGCTCACTTCTACGTGATTGGTTGTAGGTTTGTGACGTATTTAGTCTGAAGCGTTTCAAATTCGGACTAAAAACACAGCTTTTCAATAATTAATTTTGGGTTTATTTTACTCGCAAATAAAAATTGAGGACACACGGGTCTTTTTATTTTTAATGTACTTTGTGGATCAGAAATAAAAAATGAAGGCGGGATGACCCCATTCCGGTATTACAAATGTTTGCACTATAGCCACATAGAGCTACGTGTTAATGATTTGCTCGAAAAAGTAAGGCTCGACTATCCCCCACTTGGGTCGCCGTCTGTGGTAACCCTGGTGGCTTTTTTTCATGGCCGAAGCCGTCTATTTTGGTAGATCTCTAACAATAACAAAGTTATGGAGCATTAAGAAATCGAATAAATTCGAGAAACGCCTCCTAGCGGCCAAACTATTAGAGAAGTTGCGCAATTAAAGGGCTGTTGTCATGCTGCAAAGAAAAGCAGAAAATTTCGATTACTTCCGAAGATATGCCAGAAAAACCGAAATTTCCCGATTTCGTAAGAATACCTTTCGGAAAAATAACCTGGAAAATGGAAAATATATTCGATCAGTATTCTCGCACGATTAGAGCGTTGCGCGCGGGTGCACCATCTTGTTGAAACCGATAGTTTCCAACTTTTGTTTTTTTTTGTGTGCCATACAGCGTTGTATTTATTCGTAATAAAAAATGCTACTGAATACAGTATGTACTCTTTTTTTACAGGCTATATAAAAGAATAAGGTTGGTGATGACTACTCTGAAACGAATCGTTGTATTGAAAACCTATCAAGCTATGTTGAAGAGGTCAAAAAGTGACAATGAGAAAGGGTTTTTAATTTGTTTGTATTTGTTCAAATAACATTAGAAAAAAATAAAAGCTAAATCGGCTAATTTCCGTTTTTCTGGCATATCCTCGGAAGTAATCAGAATTTTCTGGTTCTCTTTAAAGCACGATGATGACTCTGTAATTGCGCAAGTTTTCCCTAATTTGACCATCATCGTACCTTCTATGGTTTCCGAGATCCGCATCATAGACATCCTGTATATAAATATATGCGAACGCTGTTAGATCTATATGCAAGTGGCGGCTTTAGGCGTTTGTGGAAGCTAAACGAATTGGTCCATAATTCGTATAGATTGTGCGATTTCGTGAAATTCTGACCATTCCGACCAAGAATGACGGTTGAAATGTTTGATTCTTAACGTGTGATTTCTTGATTTTCTTGTCAAAAAATCCCTGCGATAGCGCAATGTAGTCGAAAACGCGATGAACTTGTGTAGAAAAACATTGTAGGACGTAAGTGTAATTTTTCCTTGGTGAATTTTCAATAATGTTCTGCCGTCAAAGTAAAAAGTATGTAGACCTTTTTAACATTCATCAGATTTGAATGAGCTATCAAACACTGTCTAAGATAAGAGAGGTTCATGGACTCCCTATCTTTAGCATAAGCACAAAGTAATAGAGATGGAAGGTTTTGGCTTAGTATCATACTTCCACTAGTGGTGTTTTCTTACAAAAATCACGATCGCGCGCATTTAAGGTCAGCACAAATCCAAATAGATAGGAAAAAATTTATGGTATTGTACCTCGAAAGCATATGTTTTAAACCAGGTATTGTGAACATGAACACGGAAATACACGCATTCATGTAAGTGGTTGATTTAACTAGGAGTTGATACATATCTCTCTGTTTTACATAGTTATTTTATTCTATGTGGTTTAGGCGTTTACTACAATCAAAATTATAAGAACTGGTTTGGTACATCTATTGATGGGGGTACTCGAATATACCCCGCGCATAATAGCGAATATTCGCGCATTTTCGCCACCAATTTGCGAGCAGATTGCATTTTCAACGTACACCGTCAACAATTTCGATGTTTTTTTCGATTCTAATAGAATAACTATAGACTTAATTTATGTAGGTCAGCAGTTCTCAACCTCTTTTGGTAACATAAGACATGAACACTTTCACAGCCTGTGATTTAGCGCAACTACTGAGCTTAATTTTATATTGATACCCTTCTAAAGAAAAACAAAAATATTGTACAAAAATGGTATATCCAACTGTATTTTAGTACCTACCAGCTTTGATGTAGAAATTTATTTATTTATTTATTTAATATCCCTCTCTTGTTCTGGGCCCTCAACAGGCTTGCGCCCAATTTCAGAGTGACCCGCATAATGCTTTTTAGAGGTGCCTCTGTTCTGTACTATTTTGGTATTTACCTTACGAATTAGGAAAACTGCAGGAGAACCTAATTCGGAGTAGCATTTCGTGTTTGACCAATTGTAACTACTCCTTAATTTTTATTCCAGGTAATGACGAGGTATATTTCCAACCCAGATAACTTAAAACTTATGATGAATATGTTGAAAGAACGGTCTAGGAATATCCAATTCGAAGCTTTTCACGTGTTTAAGGTAACCTTTTTTTAGTTGATCCGACAATTGCAACATTTCTATAATTTTGTAGGTGTTTGTCGCTAACCCTAACAAACCGAAGCCTATTCTTGATATTCTTCTTCGTAATCAAGATAAACTTGTAGAGTTCCTCATGAAATTTCACACCGATCGGGCGGAAGACGAACAGTTTAACGACGAAAAAGCATACCTTATACGACAGATTAGAGAACTACGACCCTCAGCGGATCATTAACAGTTTAGTAACTAATTATCACTGTAATACTTTATACATATATAATGTATTAGTGCTGTTGCTGTTTATTCGTTGCATTTATAAAGACAAAATATTTTTATGCACCATTTTGTTTTAATTTATTATTTTATTTTGTGTTTCGATACAAATCATGAGAGTTGACTCGAACTCTGGCTATGAAAGAAAATAAGCAACCTTTATTAACTGTGACGAACTACAACATCAACTAATATTAGCCTAAGCGCTTGTTTTGGGATGGTATGCGATGCGTAAGCATTATGTTAATAGTGGGTGTATTTAGATTTTATATTTATATACAAAAATTGTTGTTTATGTGTGAAAAGAAAGACCTGAACATTTGCAACGCTCGTTTGTTATTATTTCTTATAATTAGTTATCAGTAACTTTGGTAATTGTAGCTTTTGTTGCTGATTTATTTTATTTCTTAATTATGTAAAAGTATTTGTTGCCTCTGATGTGTTGTATATAATTTAAAGTCATTTGATTTCATTTCTGTTGTAGGCAATAAAAGAGACTGCAGCTATAACTAAAACTGGTAGATACTTTCTTAGGACGTTTTTGTGAAATTACAATTTCAATATTTCATATAGGGGTGCCTGCCAAGTGCTACACGTTATTCTAGGACTTAAAAAAAAAGTAACAAAAGGAGTTTATTAATTCTAAATGCTAGAAATCTAAATAAAATAGTTTTTTAAATCGAATTTATAACCAAAGGTAAATATGTGGACTGTTAAGTTGTTATACCCCTAGGATATTAGAAATGTTAGAAAACGAAGGTCGAGTGTTCTCACTCGGTATTCTTAATCAACTAAATCGATTATCTTCCTTTCATTATTATGTTTAATATGTAATTATGTATTTTAATAACTACATGAACTTGTTGCAGTTTTATTCAACTATGTATTTTAAAACTTCTTTAAATGCTATGGGTTGCCCTATTTATTTCTGCAGTATAAATGCAAATAAAATATACTTCCTGCAATATTTATGCCTTTTTTTAAAATTTGTTTGTGCTAGTTTTTGACTTTTGTGTAGAACGTAGTAACACCTGACTGGGTCGAATGGCACCGAAAATTAAAATTTCTCCTTGATGTGCTTCACAGCACATAATAGTATATCATCTTGTCCATTAACCACAAGTCGACCCTTGCACATGTAAGAACAGTAGGTACATTTTAGTTTGTGGACATGGACAACAGGCGGCCATAACCATGAACTGGTATATCACATTCAGTGATCTACAGGCCTAAATGAAATACAGTATCACATTTCAGTTTTGCTACTCACGTATAGGCAAATATGCAGGTACCGTAAGTATTTGTATGGGTGGTTTGTATCATGGATGGTTGAATACGTCATCCCAAAGTCGTAACTATCGAATTAAAGGTGGTGACTTATCAGTTTATAATTCTTTTTTTTTGTCGTTACGTGGAAAAGTGGGTGGAAAGTCTAAAATCAACAATTGCGAACGCGCATTTTTAGAAAAATTCAGGAAATGGAGATCGCCCAACTGCGGTATAGACAAATCTTAACCAAATTGCGTACTGTAAGGGGTCCGCTCTCAATACCTAATATCAGGATCCCTTCCCTTTCTGCTTTTTATTGAGCGAAGTAGCTAATCCAAAATAAAAGATTTAAAAGGCGCGTTTGTTAAAATTTCAGCAAGATCGGTATACTAATACAAAATGTGCCTGTGCTCATGCGCGCACGCAGTTTTGGGAATGTTTAATATCGATCGATTTTCTTAACAGGTTCTTCTGTAAAAATTTGAGAAAGAACAGTGCAAATAAGGGTTACCTTTACGCATGGACGCATGCAGATTTTCACAAGAAGTCTACTCATATCAAACTGCAATTGTAGAAATGGGTACCTCAAGACAAATCACGTGATTAAATTGGGTCAATTATATTGACCGTCCTTGTACAATGCGTAACAAACGTTTGGCAACGCTGCAATAACATTGTCGCCAGACGGCTAGCCGCGCAGGCGTAGCTAAAAACAGCCATATTAGCTCGAACACTGGCTGTATTTACCGATGTGAAAAATCTTCATTTTTACTGTTAGTTAACATTTTTAAATCGCTTGTTGAATCAGATTCGTATTTGATAATAAGTCTTCACAGAAATCGCATAAACATTCGGTTATTACTGTTGAAATGACCGGAGCTCTATCAACGCACTTCTGGTTTGTTTATAATGATCATCAGATTTGCAGCGCATTTTGATCACGCTAATTAGAATAGTTCGCTATGGTCGATTTTATTAATTTTATCAAGAACTTAATCCTTCCTTTTGATAGCCCGCGAAAACGAAAGTAAGTTACCTTAACCTATCAATGTTGGTCGAATATCCGCATTTCTCTTTGAAGGGTTTCTAACGACGATATCTACAGCCCCATTAATGCCAAACTGCGAAGGATTAATTCGTCAACTATGGCTGCTCGATCAGATGGTAAGTGTAGAGCTCTTTTTTTAATTTTGTTGTTTTAAGTTTTGAAACATTGGAATTCTTGTGGTCGGTGAAGTAACAAAAACTGAAACCAAAGTACCAAGAAACCACAATAAAATGTACACATTTTGACAGCTCGCTGTCAGGATCCATGTTTTTGTTTCAGTTTTTGTTATTCTATTGCTTACAGTTCCATTATTTATATTTTAATTGCAAGATCTACAAAATTTAACGTTCCGTTCAATGTAACATGGTGTTAAATTCAGTACTTGGGCACTGTAATTGGTTGTTTCACTGTCAGGATTCATAAAATGTCAAAAATTAACCAATGACAGCTGAATCGCATGATTAATAGAGGCCTAATTAAGGTTCCATGTGTCTGTTTTTAGTATTATTATGTAGGTAGTTAGGCACTCTCCTTTTTGTTGGCATGCGGACTATAGTATTGATTTGTCATATATACAGGGTGTTTGAAAAGTATGGAAAATCCTGTACTTCTAAATATACACGGTGTTTTTCTGATTTTTAATATAAAGATCTCGGAAACTATCAGAGACATTGCAATGCGAAAGGAATTACAGTCTTACAAGCTTATATATTCCCTTTTTGATTTTTGGAAAAAATCCACGGCCGACAAGATATCTTGCAAAAATGTTTTTTTCAGGATATCGTTTGGAGGATATCAAGGAAAAAGTTGTACATGTCATTAAAAAGAAAACATTTTTTTTCTTATGGGAGTAATTATTTTATGGGTCAGTATTGGAAGCCAATGTGAAACTATCACCTAAAACCTCCCTGCCACAGCCCTCCTTTATGCAGTGTTGCGAATTTTCTTAAAAATTAATTTGATTTATTTTAAGAAGTACATTTATCTGACAGTGTCACATACCAAATTTCACTAAGTGAAAGGTAACGTATGCCCTACGAAATAGAGAAGACGGAAACTTTGTTGTCAGCCCTCTAACAACTCAGGCGCGCCGCTTGTGATTTAAATTATTTGTCCTGCTTTCTTATTCAGTTTGATCTCTAGGTTAGAATTTTTTAGTGTAACATAATGCAGTTGCGGTCACGCTTATATCCTCAATTTTTCGTCGTCTGTCTGTCTGTTCCTTCGAGATCTCGGCCCCTGGGCCACATAGAGACTTCGGGTTTTCGCTAATTCATAGTTACATTATCCGGCAACATCCATGTGGGTTTTGAAACATTTTTTCTTCATTTTTCTTTTTTTTTGGGTGATAGTGTATTCTAACTATCCGTCAAAGATATATTGATATTTTGTCTTCTGATTGTACATCACAATTATGATGACCTGCATTCTTAACCATTGAAATACACCAATACAATGTTTTTATTTTACTTTTTTTAATATAATTTTGTAGATAGATGTTTCGAACAATGGTAGGTAAAATATTAATAAATAATAAAATAATAATAAAGTGTTTTTTATTGATACTACTGCAGAACCAAATAATGATATAAGAAATGAAGACTAATTATACTGGATATATAAAAAAATGTTAAGTAGGGTTGCCACATTGACCGCGTTGACTTCCGGGGCACTATACCTCTGTGAACCAAAATTGTTACTGGGTAAAAATATATCACATTTAAAAATTTATTGGGTAGCTTGTTTGCAATTTGGGCAGATAGAGTGAAACAGATGATTATGCATTCTAATGACATCTGTCATTCTTATTTCAAGGGACCCGTATGACATATGTCAATGTTGTTTCTATAGAAACGACCAGGTCGGCAGAATCTGAGTTAGCTATTTTTGACGTAAATTAAATTTAGAATTGTCAGAAGCTTCACAGATTTATATAAAATAAAGTTGTATTATACACGGCGATACAGGGAAAGTAACGATTTCGTGAAAGTTAATTCAAATTAAAAAATTTAAATGTCCATTTATCATGTCATATAACAAATAACTATTACTTTAAGATGCTGACGTACTTATTATTTGATACGAATCAGCTTTGTTGCTGTGGATAAACATCCTGTACAAAGCGAACAGAGGGAGAAATCATAATTGTCATACTGATCTGCGACTAATTGAATATCTTTTGGCAAAGAGTAACCAATATTTATTGTTTGCTTTTAGTTTAATATGATAAATTTGTTTCAGGTGACGGTTGGCATACCCCTTGTAATGTGAGCCATAGAAGCAGTTTTCGTAACTCTTTGCATAATCGATCCTCATCGAACAACTCTAAGGAGAATGTAACTGTCATAATCGACGATGATGATGACGATGTTATACAAATCTCGAAACTTAAACCTGCTAACAAATTTACTTCTACACCAAATCTATCGGTTTCATCAAGATCTAACTTACACATGAATGGTAATGGCGACGACGTGACAATTTTGAAATATACCAAACCGGTAGATGACAAAATATTGAAAGCGAGAAAATCTGGTTTCGAATACATTAAACCGTACTCATATCTCAACGATAATTCCATCAAAAGCCACACTAAAGCGAACTCGAGGAGCAGCTTTACATCCCCAATTTTGAGTAGTATTCGTGGTATAAAATCTAAAATAAAAATGTCCAGGCCCGCCATACGAAGCTCAGTATTAAACCAATCTTTTCGCTTGGACGAAAAAATGAAATACAAGCAACTGCTGGCGGAGAACGCGCCGAACTACACGTCCGATTTGCGCGAATCGTTTTCGAAGTACAGCACTCCCGTCGGTAAAATATTTATGCACAATCAGACAAAAAGAAATCGGCAGTTAGTTGACCTAGCTTTAAATAAGAACGAGCCTAGTAAGATTATCGATTTAACTGCAATTGGCACAAATGGAACGGTTCGTAGATCGTTGTCCACAAAGGACACAATAAAGAAAGTACTGGACGATTTCTCCACAAACGAGCCAATAACTATTAAGGATTCGGATTCAGATATAGAAATTTTACCGAGACCGCCATCACCAAAACCTGATATTAAAGTTGAACCGGTTAATAGCATTCAGAAAATTATAGATACTTCTGAGGAGACGCATACTGACTGGCTACAGAGGTTGTAAGTATTTTGTTGCATTGTGGTTTCTTGAAAACAAGCATTTTATTCCTGTGTAGATGAATAACTCGAAGGAATACGATGATTGTGAACTAAACACGACTTGTTTTCAACTTCTGTCACATTTTTTCCCCCCGAGTTTTCCCCTAAAAGTTTTACAGCTCCGTTTTTGTGCTAACTGTTATGACTATGTTTAAAAGGAATTATTTTATTTATGCATGAAGGGCATTAATTTATGCCGAGGGCGACAGAGCCCGAAGGCCTCTGGCCCGAGGGATTGTAAGTTGCCCGAGGGTTAAATATTGAGTAATGCCTGAGGTGCATACAACATTTTATTTTTCATCGTTCCAAAGAATGCATTTCCAATATACAAATGTCATGATTATTGTTTGCCCAACATTAAAGTGCTTCATACGAATCAAGTTGCATCTTTTTTCTTACATAATATAACTCCGTCAATCAATTTGACAGGCCATTTGAGGGCATAATGAGATGACAATCCATTATGCCCTTGAGTGTAATAGACTGCTTTATATATCACATATGACAGATATAATTGACATATAATAGGCAAATGAATAGGTAATAATTAATAAATAACTATTAGGTATTTATGCAATGCATTTAAGAGTGCGCTGCAAATGGAGGAGATACACTTATTACTTTTGTTTTATACAATTGAAGAGGCGCGCAGCAATGGCATAATATTATAAATTAATATTGCTCACGCTACTTCTGCTTGTCATTGATAGATGTCTCTATAGCGCTTTTGCACCTCCAGATGCAGTATGGTGCTTACAGACATACAGTACAAACGTGACAATGACAGCACAAGGAGATTATGTTTTGTTTTAATACTTCAATTTAATCATATGTCAATTTGACATCAATGCGGTTAGAAACAAGGACAGCATTATCAAAGAATGACGCAAACTAGTAAGAGAGGCAATTAGTCCATAAGACCCCATAGTGCATCTTGAGGTGCGAACGCGCTATAGTTACGTTCAAGAAAATTCTTCTGTAAGAACTGCACATGTTGATTGATTCTGTTTGTGGTATTAAAACTTAAAACAAAAGTGACACAGTCTACTACTGCAGTCTTGACCAAAATAGGACACATGGTACAATGATATTCCATACATTTAGATAGCGTGTTTTTTATTATAAAAAACAGAAAAAACTTTAAATACATAAGTTGTGGGGTTTATCCTCGGGTTTATCATTACCAGAAAATGTAAAGTAAGAAAACAAATGAATATCGCAAAGTTAGTAAAAAAATGCAAGGAACGCTCTGTATATTTTTCAAAAATTGTATAGATCTTTTCTTTCTGATTTCAAAAACTTAATTGCTTTAGCCGTTGTTGAAATATTTGCATTTATAATATTAATGCTTAAATTGGATAATGAATACAGAAAATGTATTGGAAGTAGTGGGGATGAATATCCGACATGTGTAAATTTACATTTTGTTTAATGAATGTAACTGTTAAAAAGTAAAGTTGGTCTCTAGATTATTTCCAGGGTAAAAATAATATATTAATTAATAATAAATAGTAATGTCCATTTGTTTGGTTACGGCAACTGTGATTTGGTAAAATAATTTGATAATATACTAGAAATGCAAATATTTCAAAAACGATTAAGCCAATGTCGACGTATACATAACAACATGAAATCAGAAAGGAAAGATTATTCTATTTTTGAAAATTATACAGGACGTTTCATTAAACATTTATCAAATTTGCATTTTTGCGATATTAATTTGTTTTTAGCGCATTTCCACAAAAATAAAAAAAATGCGCTATTGTGGCCACTTTGTCCGTTCGTCCGTGTGCTCGTTTTGCGACGCTGAGCTATTGTTCTACTTTTTTCGCTATTTGGTTCGTTATGGTGTCGAGTCTTGCACCAAGGAAGGAATTTTTTCTGTACCGCTTACAAAAAAAGTTATTGTAAAAAAAAACAAAAAACCGTTTTTTACATGTTCCATAATTTTACACTTTTGCCGTTTATTAACGATCCTAGAGATCGTTTATAATTTTGCATTGCTATCTGTCGCCTGCCGGTTGGTCTGTCCGTCTGTTCCTTTGTCTGTCTGTCCATCTATCTGTCCGTGTGAACGATAACTTTGTTTAGAAATGTTCGATCGCTTTTACATCTCCGTTAGTTATGAACTGAATTGCATGAAATTCAATATGGGCATAGCTTTAGCCATATAATACGCAATGCCAAAAGTTGAATCGAATCGATTCAAAATTCACAGTGCCCTTTTCGCATCTCGACCATTTATAAACCGAATTGCAAACTTTTTTACTTATAAAAGTATTTGAATGAAATTTGATACATAGGCACTTGGAATAAAGGAAAATCAAACGCCAATTTCAAAATTTGGTTTTGCGCATGCGCAGTGCCAACTTTTTTATTTATGGAAGAATTTAAACGGAATTTGATACATAGGCACTTGGGATAAAGGAAAATCAAACGCCAATTTCAAAATTTGGTTTTGCGCATGCGCAGTGCCAACTTTTTTATTTATGGAAGAATTTAAACAAAATTTATCCATAGGCACTTGGGATAAAGGAAAATCAAACGCCAATTTCAAAATTTGGTTTTGCGCATGCGCAGTGCCAACTTTTTTATTTATGGAAGAATTTAAACGAAATTGGATACATAGGCACTTGGGATAAAGGAAAATCAAACGCCAATTTCAAAATTTGGTTTTGCGCATGCGCAGTGCCAACTTTTTTTATTTATGGAAGAATTTAAACGAAATTTATCCATAGGCACTTGGGATAAAGGAAAATCAAACGCCAATTTCAAAATTTGGTTTTGCGCATGCGCAGTCCCAACTTTTTTATTTATGGAAGAATTTAAACGAAATTTGATACATAGGCACTTGGGATAAAAGAAAATCAAACGTCAATTTCAAACTTTGGTTTTGCGCATGCGCAGTGCCAACTTTTTTATTTATGGAAGAATTTAAATGAAATGTGATACATAGGCACTTGGAATAAAGGAAATCTAGCGCGAGTTTCAAAATTTTATTTTGCGCATGCGCAGTGCCAACTTTTTTATTTAGAAAAGCATTGAAATGAAATTCTTCTCATAAACTGAAATTGAAGTAGCACGTCAAAAATGGATTGCCCATGTGCAACGCTATCTTTCATATTTGTGGTCGGATTTTTACGATTTTAACAGAAGTTGCATCTTACAAATGGGAAATGAATGCAAGTGGAAATGCGCTTTATGTAAATCGTTTACGATTACTTTTTAACTTGTTTACCTTACATTTTCTGGTAATTTATGATAAACCCCACAACTTTTATATTTAAGGTTTTTTCCTATCTCTTATAATAAACGCGCTGTCTAAATGTTCGGAATAACCCTTTACATGTGCAGATGTGCCTTCTTTCAGTTACAGCTGTTTGTGTTATATAAGAGTTTACTGTCCAACTTTCAGAATCTGCTCTTCAAAAACGAGTATGGTGTACTGAGCTCTTGGCTTCACTCGTGCATATTCTATGTACTTTGTTTAGGAGGAGCTATGCACGTTTTATTCTTTTATAAGCAATAGTCTAAGTTCCGACATAAAGTCAACCTTTGCCCCATCTGTTTACCCTGTGAAATACATTTTTTAACAATTTTTATGTGTAAAACAAACACATTGCAAATGGGTTTCCTAAAAAAATAGTTTTGAGATTTCACTTTCACGAAATGCCCACTTCTATTTGTTCTATTAAGCAAATTTAAGAAAAAAATAATATAGGGTACATTAAATCCTAAAGTTGAAAGCAGCTTGTGTTTATTTGTAGGCGAACAGGTTGAGGAATGGTTTACTGTTGTATGAATCAACCATACTGGTATAATTCACTAGATATTGAATACATATTTGAGATCTCCAAGTTTGTGACTGACTATGGGAATTAGACCTGTGTACAGGGTGAGTCAACGATTGCGCGGCATAACTTAATGCCTTGAAGATTTTTCGATAGAGTGCTCTTGTATTATGATATGGTTGAATATTCTCCACATTTTAAAAATATTCAGAATTATACAGGGTGCACCCACAAAGTAGGGCGCCAAAATTGTACATTTTTTTAAATAGAACCCCCTGTATTTGAATGCATTTTTGAATTCTACGTGTAATTGTAAGTCTTTTTTATTATATGGTTAATATCCGAAAAGCTAGTAGTTTTAAAGATAATTCGATTTTTAAGAAAAATTGGGCATTTGCAAGCGTCTTGTCAAAATTATTGCTTAAAATTTTATTCCAGGTTTTATATCTTTTATCCTGGGTTAAGTAAAAGTCAAATAAATACATCTATTATAAAACATTAAAAAAATAGCTTACAGGGTGTTTTTTCTAGATCCAAAGTTACAAAACTTCATATTAAAAGTCCTCGTTTGAGATCGAAGGGACTTCAGCGCATTTTTGTGTGGCAGATCAGTATTCTATTAGCCACTTTCGACTCCACCATCAGTAAGATCGTGTCGGGGGCTACCACATTCCCTTTGACGGTACCCACTTCCGACGTTCCGTTCACCCGCAATTCGTGTTTGAAGATTTGACTCCACCATCAGGAAGATTGTGTCGGGGGCTACCACATTCCCCTTGACGGTACCCACTGCCGACGTTCCGTTCACCCGCAATTCGCGTTTGAAGATTTGACTCCACCATCAGGAAGATGGTGTCGGGGGCTACCACATTCCCGTTGACGGTACACCCTTCCGACGTCCCGTTCACCCGCAATTCGCGTTTGAAGATTTGACTCCACCATCAGGAAGATCGTGTCGGGGGCTACCACATTCCCTTTGACGGTACCTCCTTCCGACGTCTCGTTCACCAGCAATTCGCGTTTGAAGATTTGACTCCACCATCAGTGAGATCGTGTCGCGGGCTACCACATTCCCTTTTACGGTACCCACTTCCGACGTCCCGTTCACCCGCAATTCNGACTACTTCTCGAAGACGCGCGCGCCGCCTCGCAAAAAGTCGTTAATTTCGCCCCTAGGACAAAAAACAAAATTCCGCCACGCAGGAGTTGTGCGCGTTTACAACATCTTTCCGACGACACCAATTTCAAAAGAATCGGACCAAAACTGTAGTAGAAGATAGGAAAAAACTGAAAAACCTTCACGTTAGTATACTACGCTCGAGGATGACGCCCAGATGTCGCCAAACCCACATCATGTAGCCATGTCCCTAAGGTTGACAAATTTCACGGCCCTGTAGATACACGTACACCCGTTGCCTTTCTACAAGAGTTCTTCTACGCGCCCACATTTGCTGCCAGCCAACCAGCCAGCCAGCCAAAGTGAGATTAAAAGCTACTTTTTACAAATAAATTTGCAAAAAATGCGCTAAAAAATCTCACTTTTTTAAATGGAACACCCTGTATATTTTTCTGTCATCATTTAGCTCCTCCAAAAACCTTCAACTTTTGATAATAATGTCCTATACCTATCTCTGATAGTTTTCGAAATATCTTGGTTTTCCTGGGTTTTATATTCTAATCTTAAATAAGTTATATGTAATTTAGATTTTTTAATATGAAGTTTTGTAACTATGGATCTAGAAAAAAACACCCTGTAAGCTATTTTTTTAATGTTTTATAATAGATGTATTTATTTGACTTTTACTTAACCCAGGATAAAAGATATAAAACCTGGAATCAAAATTTAAGTAATAATTTTGACAATATACTGATGCTTGTAAATGCCCAATTTTTCTTAAAAATCGAAATATCTTTAAAACTACTAGCTTTTCGGATATTAACCATATAATAAAAAAGACGTACAATACACGTAAATTCAAAAATGCATTCAAATACAGGGGGTTCTATTTAATACAATGTACCATTTGGGCGGCGCACCCTGTATAATTCCGAATATTTTTAAAATGTGGAGAATACTCAATCATATCATAATACAAAAGCACTATCGAAAAATCTTATCTTCAAGGCATTAAGTTACTCCGCGCAATCCTTAACTCACCCTATACTTGGAGGAGAAGAAAAACTCTTGAGTGTTATTCAGAATGAAATGAGATTCCTAAAAACGAGTATGATTGATCCTCACTCCCCAATCTCTTCTCCAATTAAGTAGTATTATGTTTCGTTGCAAAATTAATATTGCAGGGTTCAAAGACACAAGGCCGACGTGGCCAGATTGCAGCAAAGGGTCCAAAACCAAATCACTCAGACAAACAAAATTGCCGAAGTGACATCGGAAATAAATCAACAACGACTCGAGGACCAAATGCTAAGATGCCTTAAGATTAAGGAGATCGTCTTGCCGGAGCGGTTCGTCGAGGAGGCGTTCCCGGAACTGTCGGAAGAGGACGAATGCCGAATAGATCACGCTCTCAAGACCAAACGCACAAGTCCGACCGAAGTACTTGTCCAAAAATTCAATTTGAACATTACGCGCGCCGACATTCAAACCTTGGACGGATTGAATTGGTTAAACGATGAGGTGATAAACTTTTACATGAATTTACTGATAGAACGCGGAAAGATCGATAAATGGCCGAAAGTGTACGCTATGAATACATTTTTTTACCCAAAATTATTAAAGGACGGGCACGCTTCGCTGAAACGTTGGACTCGACGTGTTGATATCTTTTCCTATGATATTATTGCAGTTCCGATTCACTTAGGTATGCATTGGTGTATGAGTATAATCAATTTTGAAAATCGCACCATACAATATTATGATAGTATGGGAAATCCCAATAATCGATGCCTTCACGCTTTGCGCAAGTATCTCAAAGCCGAGCATTTAGATAAGAAAGGTGAGGAATATGACGTTAACGACTGGGTCTTGGAAAATGTGAGCGATATTCCGCAACAAATGAACGGCAGTGATTGTGGTGTGTTTTCCTGCACATATGCAGAATTTCTCACACGAAAAGCCGGACTTAACTTTAGTCAAGAGAATATGCCGTATTTACGCCGAAAAATGATACTTGAAATTTTAAATGGTGAATTGATTATTCAATAATTCAATGTCCTTTTATTGTAAATGAATTAATCTAGTGTAATAAATTCATTCATCCAAGGAGTGTATCATAATTTATACCTATTTATTTTACGAGTGTTTACATTCTGTGTTAAGTGAAAACAAAATGTTTAATGCCACTTGAAAGAGTTTCAGACTGATTAGTGGGTGCCCAGCTCTGATGGTGTAATAATGTCATTTGTTAGTATTGTAATGTAAATAATGTCTGTTTTAGTGTGTTTATTATAGAATTTTAAGTTGACACATTCCCTTGTTAAATTCAGAAATCGAGGAATCTCATAGGCAGTGGGGCTTATTTAATATTTATATCTAATGTTTATTGTAACGTCGTGGATGTAAATTTCTGGTATACCTTTTGTTTTTTTATCGATGTAGAAAAACCATTCTTCCAAAACTTACTTTTTATTGTAACAGAAAAGTGGTAATAAACTTACAAGTAAAATCTGTGTAATTTGTTTGGTTAGCAAAACTGTAAGTACCTACTGACTGTATACACTGCATGGTGTAAGGTAAAGAGAAGTGTACAAGCTACTCGTTAAATTCTGAAACAATTTTGTTGCAATGTAAGAAAGAGGTGGAAAGCCTAGTCTCTGCTCTGCTGGTCGAGGCTTATGGAGTTTTCTTACGAAAATCACGATCGCGCGCATTTCAAAACGAAGGGAGAGTAAGTTTCTCGCAAAAAAATCTGTGGTGGCTTCAACTGTTTTTGAATCACAATCATAATTTTTATCGTTTTCGCCTTGTTGAAAAGCAGGTGTGCGCATACTGGTTTTAAATTATTTAATTAAAAGGCTGTTGGCGTAGAAAATCTTATAATTTAACATTTTTCTCTAGGTAATCGATTTCGGACAAATACATCCTTCATCAGACCTTACCGTCAAAGATTAAAAATACATAGACATTTATGATAGAGTATAGTATAAGAAGTTCAAGGGATGATTTATATCGAGATGCGGTGCTGTGTGTGTGCGTTTTGAGGTTATGTGTGATTGGTGGGAATTATAGTACATTATATATCAAGGTAGAGAAGTCCACTATTATTGCCTGAGCACCAAGATTACATCTCGAGGCGCTTGCGCCGAGGGATGTAAGGTGCGAAGGCAATAATAGACTTCTCTACCGTGGTATATATACTATTTTTTTTACTACTAGCGTCTGATGACATGATTATTAACCTTTTTTCCACTTGTAAAGTAGGCTTTCTCGGCATTTGTTCAAAGTGGTTAATAATTTTTTATTATTAACTAGTAGTCAATAATGAGAACTGTCACGCTGTCACTTTTAGAAAACACAACCCGAAATTTCGCTCAATGAACGTTTAGACAAGTTCTCTAAAACGAATAATTGCCACCATTCGCAATTTCCAGAGAAATTACATACCTAAAATTATCACATTTTGAAAAAATTCGAACGAAATTACTCTTTGAAAAATCTCAATGACAGAACAAAATACGGCCTGTTTGACTTGTACTTCCACGTACTTGATTGACATGTTAAATTAAGAAACAAACAATTCTGTCCAACCGTTAACTCTCTTATCAATATAATATGTTAATTTAGAGGATTTCAAGTGCTAGTAGTGAAAAAAATAGTATATATACCACGGTAGAGAAGTCTATTATTGCCTTCGCACCTTCCACCCCTCGGCGCAAGCGCCTCGAGATGTAATCTTGGTGCTCAGGCAATAATAGTGGACTTCTCTACCTTGATATATAATGTACTATTTTATTATACCTGCAGTATAATTTAAAAATAGGTAATACAATGAAGTCATATTGACGTTATATTCGAATACATGTCTAATTAAGTGGGCTGGGTGTTCGTAATTTCACGATTGCCATGGAAATGTCACTTGACGTTTGCTTATAAAAAACATCGTCTTTGTGAATAAACGATTTGCGTTGAAAAAGATAGTACACCGCCCATTAAATCGCTTGTAGTAAAATCTAAACAAACGTTGGTAGGTGTAAAATCCCAATCCAGTAAAGCCTATTATCAAGCATATGAAAAGTTGTTTCCATGGATGAATAGGAAGTTACTTACGAATAAAGTCTTAAATGCATCGATAATGCTGGCATGTATGAAGGAAATGTCAAAGGTATTTAAATCTTCTATCTTTTGGTGCATTCATTCAAAACTTCAAATATTGTTGCGACTAAAAAGTGGAATAGATTTGGAAGCATATACCCTAAATTGAGTGCGTTTGTGGAAGCTTAAACCAAAGGATAGGTACAAGCCAAAGCAATGTTCTGCATTTGCAGAAAGCGATCTAAGAGGATTGTTTATTTCAACCCCAGATGACAGTTTCAAAAGTCATACTTGAAGTATCATTACCTAGCAACTTTAAAGCACGTGTGTTTTAAAGGCCTTTTTTCGCACGCATTTGAGTGTTTTAAACGGAGATTGTGATTCAGGTATAATAAAAAATACTTACTGATTTTGTATATAAAACTGTTTATGGAAACTGACAATTTTGTATGTTTTTTTTTCTTTTTTCGTTTGACTGTCCATCATTCTGGGTCATCTGGGTGCTGCACATAACGATGAGCAAGGTTCGTGCTAACATGCAATGGCGTAACTAGATAAGTGCCGAAGGTGCCGCGGCACCGCTCTGAGAGGACAAGGGCGCGCCGAAAGCGCCAGTACCGAAGGCGCTAAGGCACCGATGGCTCCGGATGCGCTCTAGGACATCACGTCCGCGTGAGCTGTACGGCGTATAGACCAGGCATTAAAGAAAAAGCCGCAGTTAAATTCGAAAAGTCTGCTAAAGTCGACTACAGGGTGCAAATCAAATTTTCGAACCTTAAGGGTTTTGGCACATGACGAATTGAACTAAAATATGTGGCGCCACTTCCGCAAATACGAGAAGTAGTCATCAACTAGAAGCCATCACAAGAAGTGACTAAAACATGGAATATCTCGGAAACCGTTTGAAGCAGCCTTTGACATTTTGTATCAAATTAAAGGTCTCGGAAAAAGGAAAACAACAGTGAAGAAAAACATGGGGAGTGTCATTTGAAAAAAAAGGTGTTACGGATATTTAACAATTTAAAAGTTGAGAGCTTTGAAAAAGTGACGTAGCCTCACTTTTTTAGACGGTTACGCATACCATAAGAAAATTCGATGTTTCCGTAATAAAGCAGTGAAAACTCTTTTGCAATATCTCTCACCGTTTTCGAATAATACATTTTTAAAATTATCCCCGCAAATTCAATTTTTGACATAAAAACTTGAATATCGACGAAGCCCTTGGAGCAAAGGATTAACTATGGGTATCGTTGTACTCCAAATTTGACGTAGAATCCGAAAATGTAGAAAAAATATGGAATCCCTATTTAAAATAACAAAGTTGATGGCTACTTCCGGTATTTGCGGCAGTGGCGCCATCTTGAAAATATTTTAGTTCAATTCATCATGTGCCAAAACACTTAAAGGACTTATCAGTTTAGTTACATTTTCAAAGATTCTCCATATCTTTCTAACTGACGCTCGTCAAGAATGACCCTGTATATAATATATTTGATCCAGTTTCGATGCTATAAATTTTCGTAATTTGTATAAACAAAAAAATGCTTGAGCTCGATCTATTATATTATATTAAATTAAAGTAATAAATGAACGAAATGAATATTTAACTGCTACAGAAAGTGTTCAGTAGGCAGTCAAGCATACCGTAATTTAATATCGCGTTTGTTTATAAGTCTCAAAACTTATTGGTCTTTCTTTCTCTAAGGTACGCAGTGGCAAATATGACCATTTATTTGTTTTTTTATTGCGACCCATTGTTAATAAAGTCAAATATTTTTACGAAATATGAGAGTTATGTTAACAACAGTTAATACACTTAAAACAAATGATATCCAATTTTATGTAAATGAAAATAATTCAAATGTAATAATATATTACGCACCGAGTGCGAAAGCAGGTTATTTTTCGAAGAATTTTAATCACACGAGGCGCGCAGCGCCGAGGGTGATTATATTCTAAGAAAAATAACCTTTCGTCGAGGTTCGTATACGATTTTATTCACGATCATCATTATAATCATTCCATTATCAAAAATAAAATAATTCAATAAATTTATACGTATATATTCATTCATTATGCGCCATCTGCAATATTATATTATAAAGTGTTGTCGGTAATACAGATTTGGAAATTTACCTAATTAATATTCATATTAATTTAACATGTATGTTAAAAAATGGCCCATACTAAATAATTTCAATGTACATCCCCTCAAATAAGGGAAATTGAGTGTAGTAAAAAATTTACTCCCCGAATGAATTTTTGAAGTGAATGAACAATGGTGGGCAGGAAAGGGTAGGTAGGTATAGGTAAAACTTCATGTTTTACTTGCTTATTTTAATGAGGTAAAGGTAAAGAAATCATCCACATTATGAACGACCAAATAATGTTGTAATCCACATTCAAACCTAATGCGGTAATGCCTAATGACCATGTCAGTTTTATTATGCTAAAATGTACCTACAGCGATCTTTTGTGATTACAGATTTAGGCTGGGTTACAATATTAGTATTATAATCTGTGCAAATGTCAATAACGAAAGAATTATTCTCCAGATCCAATCAGGTAGTCACTAACCACTCCTGTTCCAATACGATAGCCCTAAAAAATAGCATTATCTATTTCTAAAATGTGACAAATTACATTTAATTACCGGACATTGTTTTTGGCATATGATCGCCAATATTAGCAAGTGCCAGTGGAGGTTGGCTGTAGATTGGCTGCAGTAGCAGGAGGTTTCGTCGCAAATTCAGTGGCCCATTCGCTTTACGGGCACGCGAAAATAACAAAGTATGGCAATATCCTCTTCAGTTAGTGCTACGACGTCTCCGATATGCAACATTATGATGCCATAAATTGCCATCCCTTGCTCTTCTCATGGGCCGCAAGCGCAACCCTAATGTTTCCATGTCTTATAGACAAGAATTGAACTTTTCCACCTAGAAATTTAAACAGTAATGGGCTCTCTAAAGTAACAATCAATTTCATTAAACTCAAGTTCGAGTTTTATA